CGTGCAGCAGAGCCCGCGTCTGTTGTCTCCCCTGTGGCAGTGACAGCCCTCATTGCCGCCCAACATTCCGCGCTCCGCTGCGTCAACGCGAAGGGAGTGTGAAGGATATCACTCTTTCGCAGCATCCGCGAACTAAAGTAAGCCACCTGCTTTGAGCTTCCTGACGCAGCGGCGGCCTCGGAGCTCAGCAAGTTAAAAAAAAACCCGCATTCCACAAAATCATCCGCACGAAATGGTGGAAGCTCCTCTTCCACTGCATTTGCGACCCCACCGCACCGCAGCATCTCCTCACGTGTTTTACGCACCGTGTGCAACGGTGGCAGCAATGTCTCGTCGCGTTTCTTGTAATGCGTCCGCCGCTGCCTCGCGCAGCTGCCGCCCAAACCGTTTTCCCAACGCAGACAGCCACTTCCTGGCGCTGCATGCACCCCCTCTGCCTCCGCCTCCGCGCGATGACTGCTGTCGTGCTCGCCTCCCGCTCCCTGTCATGCCTTGGCAGGGGCCGCTTGCCCCTGTGTCTCCCGCGGCACGGAGAAAATTGCCTCGTTGCATGAAAACTTCGCACCACGGGCGTTCATGCTTTCCGCGAGCTCCTGGAGGCCGCGCCACCTATTCGCCAGGATGTGGTAGTGCAGCACCATGACGCTCGGCGTGATGAAGATGATGGCGAGCAGGTTAAGCAGCAACGTGATGAGGAGGAGTAAGTTGGTTGCCTTGACGGCCCTCTCCGTAAAAACTGTGACAACGCCAACGATGACCACTGCAAGAAGGTTTGGAGTGCACAGACTGCGCGCGGCGCGGCGCAGGCAAAACGACACACTCTGCGCGACGCTCAAGCTGTTTCACCACCCGGAGGTCGTCATCACCCCCCACTGTAGCGGAAGGCGTCGTGGTAGCTGAGGACGGCATGCAGGATGAACGGCAACACCCACACGAAGGGGTTCAGCAAACATGGCGGGGCATACAACTGCGTTCATGGAAGCACGCCAAACACGCCAAAGCAACACATTGAAACCAAAAGTGCGGTGTGAAACGCCATCCACAAGGAGGCGATGTAGACCCAGGTGCAGAGCCAACAGATGCACACGGCAACGCCAAGCTTGCACATCTCACAACCCACGAGGTCTTTGGCAAGGGCATCCTCCACCGTGGCACCACCAAAAGCAAAGTTCAGGTAAGAAAATAAAATGCCTGCAATGGCTTCACGTGCGGCATCAACAAACCTTGCATACCTCGCGTAATGCCCCTCATAATATGTGAAACTTACCTGGGAGATTGGCAAGGCAAGTGCAAATTGCGAGCGTAAATATGTGGCGTGTGGATAGGCCGGTGCTGCGCCTTGGCCCGCAAACTAGCGGTAGTTCAGATTGGCAAAGATGCGTGGAAGAACACTCCTCCGCAGAATGGTGCCAATGCCATCCATATGCCACAACCCACCAGGGTCTCGGTGGGGGTAGAAGTACTGCGTGAGGGAAGAAACGGGCGTACACATCTGCGGTGCGGATGCCACCTCTTCACGCGCCTTGCCGTATTCAAAAGTATTCTTCAAACAGAGACCATCGTAGCCCGTGGCAGCCTCAATGAGCCGCTCCGCCTGCCGAAGCGCCCGGAGATGTTGTCTGGCGCTAGGAGGTCAGCTCTGCCGCACTAGCCAAAGGCCTGCAATCAAACACCGTCCACCGCCACCCGCAACTCCACAAATTCAGTCACGTCGAACAGTGACGGAGGCACGTTTTTCATCTCCAGCGGGGTATGTAGCCTGCTAAGCCTGTCTGCCCAGCGGCTCAACTCCGCATTCAGGGTCTTCTCGTTCCGCATGGCATCGTGAGCGCCACCCACCTGATACGCCTCCAGAGGGGGAAGGTTCCCTGAACAGAGCAACACAACGCCCACAACAAAGAAAAGAAGAGGTAGAAAAAGCAGCGAGACGAAGGGCACCGGGTGCCGCGCGATGCAGCTTCTCCCAGCAGGTTGACGGGAAACCCCCTGCCCGCCATTCTCACCTGCCCGCTGTCCCGCACACCGGGTGCCACTCCCCCCAAATAATAATAATAATAAACGGGGTCGCAGGCGCATGCGTGTAGACGCACACATTCGCCCGCAGAATGAGCCGTCGGGATGTTGCAAGAAAGGAGCACACACACACAGCAGATGCGCGAGCCCCTCCGCCGCACCAACTGATGATCCACAGGCGCGCGGCAAACAGCACCCAAACAACAAAAGTATTGCGCCAAACAGGCAAAACTATTTGATCAAAAGAAAAGGGCACTACATGCGGCCCAC